ATGTCATCATCATCATGTATCATCATCATGTGTCATCATCATGTATCATCATCATCATGTATCATCGTATCATCAACATCATGTATCATCATCATGTATTTATCATCATCATCATGCCTTTGATCATCATCACCATGTCATGCAATATCATTTATGTTAGTCTGAATATCACCATCAGTGATCATATTTTGAACACACATTCACACAGGCTTCAGGTCAGAAAAAAGGAAAACAGAAACAAAAAAGAAATAAACAGAAAGAAAAAAAGAGTAAAGATGAAAAACTACAGGATAAACCTGATCAAAAAGGAGAAAAAGGAAAGGTAGAAAGACAGTCATCATTATCTGCAGCTCCAGCAGCAGCAGCGACAGGAGGGTCAGGAAGTAAGACCAAACCTGCAGTACAACCAGAAGCAGCAGCAGTAGATGCTAGTGGTAACGAAGGAAGCAATAACCAAACGAAAGAACAACCTCAGAAGAGTAAAGCTGAGTTGAAAGCTGAGAGAAGAGCTAAACAGGTTCAGTATTCTAGATTAAACCTATCAGACAGGATGAGCATCATTGTGTTCATTGAAGGCTCACAAACTTAAGAGGTTCTGGTTTAGTGTCCCAGGGGGGGGACTCCGGGAAAAAAGTACCGGGGATGCTCGTCGGAAATTTTTAAAAAGACACCTAAAAGATACCGGAAGTCTTTAAGAAAGGACGTGGCTGAATGATTTTTAACCCCTAAGAGATACCACAACAAATTACACTAGGCATCTGGCCCATAAAAAGCGCCTAAGATAAGCCATACCGATGCGCGCTTCTCTCCTTTTCCAACGCCCTAAAAGATGCCAAATTGTGAATTTTTACCCCTAAGAGATACAACGACCCCCCCACCGGGTTTAGTGTTTTCTTTTCTCTACTGAAAGGCTCAAATGTTGAACTTCACATGAGCCATATGCACATTAACAATGGAGAATGAAGAATCTTGTTTTATTTCATTTGGTTTGGTTTATGTAAAGTTCAACATTTGTTTCAGCCTTACTTTAATACCGCTTGTGAATATCATTACACCTTATATCCCCAGTGTCATACAATACACCTCTTATACCAGCGTCATCCCCACGCTACTCTCTTTGTTTATCAGCATGATGTCATGCTTGCAGCTTTGAAGTGTCCACCATTTTGAATTTAGGAGAATATCAAGAATATTATTTTGGAATTTTGGAATTTTTATAGGAATTTTGTAAAGACACCCCCCTCCCCCTACCCCCAGAAATTCCAATTTTCTTCCATACAAACTCTGTAATTTTTGTTCTTACTCTGACTCCCCCACCCTTCGGGAATTCCAAATTCCTCTGTGGGGTGGGTATGGATAATTTCTGGAACTACACATTATGCAGGAGACACAAGCAACTGAGTTAGATTATATGGATTTTAGGTCGACTTTTTACTTAAAAAAGGTAGACTTCTAGCATTTGTTCAAAGCAATTCCTCATGAATACATCATGAGCCAACACATTCTACATTGTTGGTAAAATAAGAGTGTGTTAATGTTGTATGTAGGAAGCACAAAGAGCTGCAAAGGCTGCTAAAGCAGAAGGGGGAGGAAAACCAAAACCTGAAGGTATGATATGGATATTTTTATATTATTTTTTCCAACAATCTGAAGAATATTTATCCAAGAATATTAAGCCCTGGCTAGCTACAAGCTGTATTGTCCAAAAACAAAGAAGAAAATAGATCATAAAGAAATAATCATCCTTTAACTGATGAGGTTGACAATATTAAGAATCTAATGCTCTTTAGTTATCTATTGATTTTTAAATGGGAATTTGACATTTTAATGATAACTTCTGCCTGTAGCTTACAGACCGGTAAAAGTAGCAACAAGTCTACAAGTGGATGATGCTAAAGTACAGAAAAAAGTGGCAAAAAAATTAGCAAAAGAACAGGTAAAGTGCATATTAAAAATAGGCTAACTTTGTGGTTGGTTTTTAAAAATTTGTTACCTCAGTACAAGATCTTTTGCATGAGTCTGATAAGCAGCTCTGGAATGTTACTATTACTCCCAGATGGAACCCTGAAACAACAGTCCTCTGGGCTGATCTAAGTATGGCACTGCTAACTCACGAAGAGAACCTTCAAACAACCTCTGGGCCAATCAAAGTTAGAGTAAGTCTAACTCACAGATCAAACCCTGAAACATTTACCTCTGGGCTGATCTAAGTCAGAGCACAGCAAACTCCCAAATCGAGTTGGACTTTTAGCATGTGTTTGTTTTTCAGCACTGTTGTCAGTTCTCCCCTATAGTTTTTCTGTATAGAAGGCTGCTACAACTAGAACTCTGTACACTCAGTGAATTATTGTTGATTGATGTACATACCCTTTATCATACAGGTCCCAGTGAGGACACTATCACAAAAGAAGGTTGGGTTGTTTTCACACTTGCATCAGTATGAGAAAGATGTTTCTCTAACACAGGAATTAAGGTAAAACTCTGGTACGACTAAAGATCGTGGAGCACCCTAAAAATGGAAGGTGCTTAGATTTATTTTATAGATAATATAGGAGCAGGCTCAGTTGGTTAGTGCGCAGCCTAGTTCAGAACTAGAGGTCCATAATTGGATCCTCAGGAACTCCATGTCTGTTTCAACTTCTCTTGGTTCTGTGTAGCTTTAATTAGCTTTAAATACCCGTAAAAAGGAGCACTGATAGTAAGAGGGGGTAGAGGGCGAACCTTCGAGGGCATTAAACATGAGCCCCTGGATCAGGAGATTTGGGCAACCACTACCTGCATTATCGAAGTAAAACAAATTACCTTTGCCTTTTTTTATAATATATAAGACTAGTATGTTGGTATGTTGAAGACTGTGTGTGTGTAGAAGGGGGAGCTGAGGCTTAAAATTTAGTCATACCAAAAAGTGGTGAAGCTATACCCCCTCTAAGTCCCCCACCCCGCCCACTCAATGCACCCACCCCACGCTCCCACTGAATGCGCCCATTCCATGTGCCCGTTCAAATCTTAATTCATCTAAGACTAAAAGAAATGTATTGAGCAATGTTTAGTGTTGAGTAGATGATGTCACAGACTCCTAGTGGATCAATTAACAACACTAATAAAAACTGTTTTATATTTAATGTACAGTCTAGGTACTGCTGGAAGTATTCATCCAGCTATCATTAAACTTGGAGTACAGTATGCTAAAGGGATCATATGTGGTTCTAATGCCAGATGCGTGGCTCTTTTGATGACTCTGAAAAAGGTACAGGTGTACACAAAAAAAACATCAGTATTGTGATTGAACCCTAAAACAGTCTCTGAAGTAATCTAATGACAATTCACAGATAAAATTGGAATTTAAGTGTGTTGTGTTTTGCGGAAGGAGGGAGGTCGGAGAACCCAGAAAAACTCTAGAATCAAGGCAGAGTTCTACTCAGGCATTGAACCCAAGACTCCAGAGGCGTGTGTACTGAGTCTCTGCCACCCTTGATTTCCAAGATATGCAGTACTGTTACATGAAAGTGCTGTGTCCAGACATTTTGATTGGATGATTGGTTTTTTGGGACAATCCCATTCCTATTCCTTCAATTCCATTCCATTTTTCATTCATGTAATTCCCATTACCAGGTCATCGCAGACTACAGTACCCCAGAACAGAAAGAACTTTCTAGAGATTTAGAAGCTAAAATCAAACCCAATATCAGGTATTTCCAAGTACTGTTTAATCTAGAGAACTAGCAAAGTAAGGTAGAGAAATGAATACGCATTATTGAATTGTATTATAATATTTCCAGACTCAGTGTCGTATGTGACTAGAGTTGCTTGTGAGTTCAGTCTCTTCTTCAAAAGTTTTCCTCCTCTGGGTTTCCTCCCTCATGTGAAAATCAACTTCTAAATAAATTCCAACTGGAATTCAGTAGATGAAGAACCATTATGTGGAAATGCCACTGCTAAATCATATTTATTTGTTATTTTAT